AAAATCACTGTTCCTCAACACCATGAAAGTTTCTGGGACCTTCAGCCACCATCCACAGGTCACCACTAGGTGACAACTTTGTTACTCTTCCACATCCCACACTGCTTGGCAGTCTGTTTTGTAAAGGTTGGGCTTTCTTTATTTGTTCTATTCTTTTTGGAGCTAATTCTGAAATCCAATTAAATTGAAATACAAGCATGACTGTCTTCTCACTGGATCACTGATAGACCATGACATGACATGACAATACAACTACAGAAAATATCACCATTCTTTACTATTAATTGGACACTGACGAGAAGAATTTGGCTGAACATGTGTATACTTTCTATAAAATTCTTGTCAAATCAGTGGCTATAATGATATTGATTGACTGCTCATGGTATCCTTAAATGTCTTGATTCATTTGAACTATAGTTATAAAACAACAGAATAGGTAGCTTCAAAACAACAATTTTTTTCTTGCACTTTTCTGGAAGCTGAAAGCTCCAAAGGCTTGGAGTAAGACCTAGAAATAGCCCAGGCTGCAGAATTTTCTACGATATTTTCACATGGTAGAAAATGCTAGAGACCTATGTGTATTTTGACATCTCTCAATCTCCCTGCTACTTGTGTTATCATGTTGGGCGTTAAGATTTTAAATGTATGTCTTGGGATGGGGGTTGGCATACATCCTCATACAAATTACTGAGAAAAGTAAAATGAGCCCTGATTTATTTAGAGATTTAAGTTCCCAGTTTAAAGTGCTATAAAAATTATCTGCTGATTTGTTTCCTTCCTGAAAGAAATTCTTACCTCGATATCCTCAGAAATGAGAATACTAATATAAAAGCTCAACTCGCGTCATGTAGGTAGCTGTGTTTTAGTATCAATTAACTTTATGACTATATAGTGACAGTTTTAAAATTGGTGTGTTCTGTGTGACATCACATGTTCCTGAAGTTTGTATACCTATGGGAGAACTTGATGAACCTTGGAACAATTCCTACATTCTACTGTGTCTCTTTACAAAGAAAACAACCTCTCCATCATCTTCAGTCCCAGTTAAATCAGAAAGTGGCCTCATCAGAGTCAGTTATCATGTGGCCCATTCTGATTTGTTTGGACCTACCCTTCATCATTTCATCTTGGGCTTCTAGATCTCTAATCAGATTCTATTCCTACCAGGGTGATAAGGATGAGTTATAAAGTGACCCATGAGGAGATTTAGTACAACAGAAAGAACTAGTTGGTTTGACTAACATATACAGCCAATAGTTTAAATCATATATGTGATAATAGAGATTAAAAATTCGACTACTGAAGTCAAAAGATAATTCAAAGAACAAAGCAGATGTGATGCATTTCTGAATCCTGGGTTCAGTTGCTGGTGATGGGTGATGCCCTGAGCACTTCTGGGAGTGACCACTGAAGATCAGACTGGACATAGACCCTGAGCATATCTGGATATGATCCAACATCCCCCACCTGCCACAACACATACATGCACACATCTCCCACAACTCTCCAACATACATACACACAATGCTATTCAACACGGTGTTGAAAGGGAAATAAGGGCAGATGGTGTTAACTTTTATACTTTTAGTTTGAGGGCCTTACCCAGGGGTGCTCTGGGATTATTCTTGGCTCTATACCCAGGAATCACTTCTGGTAAGGATGTGGGTACCATGTATGGTGCTTGGAAAGGAAAGTGCAAGGCTGTGTACAAGATAAGAGCCCCACCAATGGTACTGTCGCAAATGCTCTGAATTGATTTATATGGGGCAACAATGCAGATATAAATTTAATATTGCTTAGGATGCTAGAATCCACTTTATCAATTATCTTGGTTAAACCACAGAATAACATGTTCTTATTGTAAATTAGTTTTAAATCTCAGACTTGAAGTGTCTTACTGCAAGAGAAAGGAATCAAAGTAGGGAAAGTGAAACACTAACATGCTTCTTATTCAAAAGCTACTTATCTACCATGAGAGGTTGTAGAGGCTACATTCCTCATCAGGACAGAGAAAAAACTACGTCTGAGCAGGGTGTTTCTAAAGCAGCTCTTTTTTTTTCTGGAGACTAGAACTTACACTGGAACTGTCACAACATTGAGAAATGTCAATGGAAGGACTTAACTAGAAGGCAGTGTAACAGGGATCAAGTGGAGGCACTTCACGGTCAAGTGCACTTATGTCCTTGTAATGGGCAGGATAGAGAAACCAGCGATCCTGAGAATCTGACTCCTAAGGGCCAAGGCCATTCTCTAGTCGATCATTATGCTTTTAGAAGCAAAATAGATAAGAAGCCTATTCGATTCTTATCTTGTCAGTACAAGTAGAAAAATTCTCTGGGTCATGACTAGCACTGTCCTGTAGCTCTGTCCTCCCATTGTTCATGGATTTGCTGGAGTGGCCACCAGTAATGTCTCCATTGTGAGACTTGTTACTGTTTTTAGCATATCGAATATGGCATGGGTAGCTTGCCAGGCTTTGCTGTGGAGGTGGGATACTCTTGGTAGCATGCAGGGGGGTCTCCAAGAGGAGTGGAGGAATCGAACCCGGGTTGGATGCCTGCAAAGCAAATACCCTATCCGCTATGCTATCACTCCAGCCTGTCAAACCTAAGCAACAAAAAGATAATCATTTGGGACCAGAGGCATATTAGAGTAGGTAAGGCGTTTGCCTTCTACGTGACTGACCTTTTACATTCCATGGCATCACATACGGTTCCTTGATTATCTGAGTACTCCTTGGGGCACAGAGCAAGGAGTAAGCCTGGGGCAGAGCAAAAATGTGTTCTCAAGGCCAAAAATAAATAAAACAAGAGGCAGGGTGGGATGGGGTGATGGGGGGTGGGAGGGATACTGGGACCGTGGTGGTCGAAAATGGGCACTGGTGGAGGGATGGGTGTTTGATCATTGTACAGTTGAAACCCAAGCACAAAAATTTGTAAATCTACAACTGTACCTCATGGTGTTTCACTAACAATTTTTTTTTTAAAAACGTAAATAATGGAGAATGGGCACTGGTGGAGGAATGGGCACTGGATCATTGTATAACTGAAACCCAAGCACAAAAATTTGTAAGTTTACAACTGTACCACATGGTGTTTCACTAATAAAAATTTTTAAAAAATAAAAATGAGCATGTTTAAGCTTTAAAAAAATAAATAAATAAAACAATAACAAATAAATAAAACTGAAAAGAGAATCATGAAAATGGGAGTATGGCTCAAGTGGTAGAGCTTATGCTTAGAATGTGTGATAGTCAAAATATAACTCTCAGCACCTCATACGCCCAAAACCTAGTGCTACCATATATGGGCCATACTGGGAAAGAAATATTCAAACAGAGAGAGACAGAGGCAGAGAGACTGAGTCAATCTCCAAACTTCTCAGTTTACAGATCCAGAACCCTTTGGAAGAAAGTTCTAAACCCTTGAAAATTTTCGACCAACGTTTCACTCAAACTCTACTGTTGAGGCCAGGAATATAGGTCAAGCTGAGGAGCACATGTTTGAGCACGTGTGAGGCCTTGCGTTGTACCTTTGGTTATCTGAATATATACTGTTCATTTTCCCTCAAACTTTCCACAGGAACATTTTTACTAACATGATTAAATATAGAAAAATTAAAATTATCAGACCTTTAGGGGATCATTAATTACTGGCTCTGAAGTGACAATAATTTCAGAAGAACAAAAATGTCACCATGGTTCACCAGTTAGAGAGGAGACTTGTGAAGGTCAGGTTATCAATGGAACATTAACCAGCTGCATATTTCAGTGGAACTGAATCAATACAATGGGACCTTAACTGCAATACAAAATTATTTCCCCCTTACACAAGACATAGTTGGGGACAATTCTAATTAATAAATTTCCTAATTTTATATATAGATTTGCAACATATATGTGTGTATATCTATCTATCTATCTATCTATCTATCTATCTATTTATCTATCATCTCTCTCTATATATATATGCAAACAGAAAAGAGCAAAAATAAATGGCTGGGGCATAGGAGTATCAATAGAAGTGATGTACTCAGTGTTGTTTTGCTACACACACACACACACACACACCTACACACACACACACACACACACACCTTTCCCGTGTTTCCAGTCTTTTACATACATACGCCTTTACCGAGTTTCCAGTCTTTTGGCCTCCGTGCAGCTTTTGAAGTAACGTCTACACAATCATACAATGAATCAATTATTATACATGTTTTTTTCAATTATCACCATGCATTTCTATAAAACTATGGGACTATTTTGAAAAATTTCAACATAATATTGACAAATTAATATGTTTTTTCTGGATAAACTACTTTTCTGGTAAGACTATTTTGGTGTATTAAAATTTTCAAACTAATCCAGATACAGGTCAAACTTTTATGGACTAAAAATAGAAATAAGTTATAAATTGGGCCTAGACATATAAGATTAAAACATTAAATCCTGTATTAAAGATGCATGTGTATATATTTAGGTTTCATATTGTCCTTTTACAAATTCATAAATAGCCTTAAAAGCCTCTAACAAGTAGGTCATTTAAGAAGCATGAGTGAATCAAATAACCCAGAACCAAAATTCTAATTTTTTGTAACTTTTACAGGGAAAGAGAAGGAAGGAATTCTAGCCACGCAACAATGCTAATAACAGTTGAGAATAGTTATTCCGGTGAGTTTTCCCCATGGGCATCTTGTTAAACATTCCCAGAATAACTGAGAAATAGCGTACATATACTTTTTATGACTTCCGCCTGGTTTAATTTCATGTCTTACTTAATAATTAAAACAAAAGATATAATAATTTCATTAAAGATCACAAGAGAAAATGGAAGCAAATAGGGATTGAATGATATTCCAAAGCTTACCCAGGCCAATGATTCAGGAAGAAAAAATCAAGTCACGGGTTTGTTCAACTCCTGTGCAAAACAGCCATACAAAATACACAACGCACAATCCCCTTTGTTAGCAAGTGCTTTGCAAAATAAACAGGCCATTACCTTTCCCACATATTGAGGTTCGGAGCCCATGTATTCCTCCAGCACAAAAAATTGATTCCATACCCAGCCACGTTTAACTCGGTGTAAATGCGATGTCCGCCCTGGCAGGTGAATATCATTTTCTCTTGGTTCGGTAACTAAAGTCTGTCGTGGCTGGGGTTGCAGTGGTGTTAGGAGACCTCCATCAAACAGGACCCAGAGAAGCAGGGATAAACAGTTCCTTGTAAGCATTGGCGAAGGCTTTCCTACAGCTGAGGAATTAAAAACTCCAGCCCTTAGAGCAGAGTTGTGGACTCCAGGTTTGAGCAGTCTGCGGGCTCCACCACTTAATGCTCTGTTTTATTGCAGAACTAATAATGCAGGCATTAATCTTTTGGATGAAAAGCCTTCAGATGTATTATATTCCATCTATAGGGACCTATAAAACAGATGAACAAAAATGCATTAAATTAATAGAAGTATTTGATGAGAGTGATGAAAAATTTCATTTCATCAACAGCATTTAAAGAAAAAGAGCGAAGACTTTAAAATAATTGTACGGGTAAATAACTCCAGCTATTTCATCTGTCAGCTTGGATAAATTAAGCCTTATTTATTTTTTTCTTTACATTGGTTTTGAGGTCGTTGCCAAGAGTATGCAGGATTTACTCCTGAGCTCTGTGCTCAGAGATAATTCCCAGTGATCAGCTCAGCACCATGTGCTATGTGGGGGTAACACCTGGGCCAGTCCCATGTGAGACAAATACTTTAGTCCTGTACTCTTTCAGGCCCCAACTAAGGTGTTGTTTTTTTTCTTTCAGATTTGGAAAAAAAAACATTGATTACAATGAAGAAAATGAATGAGTTATAATTATTATTTAATAATTACTATAAGGACAAAAACAAATCACTAATGTAATATAAACTAAGAGTATCATTTCTCAACATTATCTTCATTTGGGGCTGGAGATTTCTTGATATTGGTAAACATATTGCACATCTTAAAGTTTGTAAATACTAGATCTTTTCACTATTTCCCTGGAGTGAACAAATAGAAGGAAATTTGTAAGAAGAACTTCATTTAGCACATAAGTTGCATGGACAATATAAAAGAGCCACTGATATTCTGCCACCCTCGAGAACATCATGAGACGACTGGAATGGGAAAACATGGGAGTGAAGATAGATGGTCGGCAACTACACCACCTCCGCTTTGCTGATGACATCGTTCTAATAACACCAAACATCAGCCAAGCGGCACAAATGCTGGCCAACTTTGACCGTGAGTGTGGAAAGGTAGGACTACAGCTGAATCTTACGAAGACAATGTTTATGAGAAACAGCCTTGTTCCTGATGCTCCATTCGCTCTCAACGGAACCACCATCTCCGAATGCAACAGTTATATATACTTAGGTCGAGAAATCAACATGATGAATGACCTGGCACCTGAGTTGCGCAGGAGGAAGAGAGCGGCTTGGAATGCCTTCAAGAGCATTGAAGAAATAACTAAAAGGACAAAGAACCTCCAACTACGAGCACATCTCTTTGATTCCACTATTCTTCCTGCATTAACATATGCCTCAGAGACCTGGGCCCTACGAAAACAGGATGAGGACGCTATTCGGGTCTCTCAAAGAGGAATCGAAAGAACTATGCTTGGAATATCACGATTCACTCAAATGAGAGATAGAATCCGGAGTTCTGATCTTCGTCAACGCTCAAGAATCAGGGACGCTGTCTCATTTGCCAAGACATCAAAAATCAGATGGGCTGGACACGTAATGAGGTTTACAGACAACCGCTGGACTAGAGCCATTACTGATTGGATTCCACGAGACATCAAAAGATCACATGGACGCCCATCTATAAGATGGTCAGACTTCTTCGTCAAGACCCTAAATGATCGGTTTGAGGGTCTACATGTTCCTAAAACGAACAGATACCATTGGGCTACACTAGCACGCAACCGGGATGAATGGAGACGTTACTGGCACCCGCTCGAATAAATCGATGAATAACGGGGATTAAGTGATTAAGTGATAAGTGAAGTGATATTCTGACAATAAGCAGAGAAAGAAAAGGATTGTTGGAGTCTGAGTCTTTTTATGCACTTAGCACTAAGTGATTTAGCACTAAGGCACAATGTCCATGGCCTGTCAGATTCCAATGTGGAAGACCATTCACTATTGGCTATAATATATATATATTATAGGTATACATATTATACATTGATATAGTGTGCTTCCTATAAATGTAAATAAATAAATTATGTATAGTGCTTCAAAGTGAGAGTTCAAAAATGAATTCACATTTAATTATACATCTAAAACATGCCATTTTGTCAGACTTTCATTTGGATTTCATCCTAGTACTTGTTCAGTTATATATGATATTTGTATACACTAAAAAATATGAAATTCATTTTCTCACAAGTGCCAAAATGTAAACCTTTATTGTGTTAATTATCTATTTGTTCATATGTGATTACATAACGGAAATTTGACAATCTGAAGCTACAATATACTCTACTTTGAAATTTTACTAAAGGGGCCGGAGCAATAGCACAGCAGGTAGGGTGTTTGCCTTGCACACAGCCAACCCGGGTTCGATTCCCAGCATCCCATATGGTCCCCTGAGTACCGCCAGGAGTGATTCCTAAGTTTATGCCAGGAGTAACCCCTGAGCATCGCCAGGTGTGGCCCCCAAAACAAAAATAAATAAATAAATAAAATAAAATTTTACTATAAATTTCAAAGAATCAATAAGAACAGAACATATATTACTATATTAATTTTGTATTCTGCCCTATCATAATATTGAACACTTTATATAAAACAACAACTCAAATAACTATATACTCAAATTTATTTCACATGCATATTCATTTTGTGTCTCCTAGGAAATTAAAATTTTTTATAAAGTTATATTTCTTCATCTTCTCTTTTGTCTCCTTCTCCATCTGCTCCTCCTCTTTTTCTCTGCCTCCCAATCCCTCTTATTCTCCTTGTTTTGGGGCCATTTTCAGGCCTTACTGTTGGTGCTGTGCTCCAGAATCACTCTGAAGTGATTGAGGTATCCCATATGGTGCTGAGGATCAAACTCAAGTCACCCACCTGCCTTACCTACTGTGCTATTGCTCTGACCCTAAAGACATACTTCTAGTGTGAATTATTTTCCATTAAATGTCATTTTTATAAATAGTTGAGATGAAATAATAACTATGATATTTACTTAAGTATTTTGTTCTTTATGTTCAAACTTGAATATCTAACATGAACTAGATTCTGTTTTTGTAACAAGATATTTAGAGATTAAAGAATAACTTTAGCCTCTGTGTGCTCAGTGCAAATATTTCCCCTACTCTTCTCTGTTTAAATTGCTAATAGCAATGCATTCTAGTTTCTTAAACTCTCCCTCTCTTCCATGCTTCTTCTCATGCTCACGCCAATCCTGCTCCAGACCTGCACAGAACACTTAGAACGTGCAAAACAAAATAAAACAAAACAAGTTGAATGCAGGAATTCTAACTTTTCAATTTAATCTAGTTCATAGAAATAGGCTGTATTTTTTTTTTAGTGAGACATTATGAGGTACAGTTGTAGACTTACAAATTTTTGTGCTTGGGTTTCAGTTATACAATGATCAAATACCCATCCCTCCACCTTCTTGTTTCATTGTTTTCTTCTTCATATTTTTGAGAGTGTGTACCACAAACTCACAGTTTGTAGGAGGAAAGAAGAAATTGGATTACATTTGATGATGATTTTGAGGGATTTTATGTGTAAGAGTGTTTCATGAGAAATCACTGACATTTAAGATCGCATTTTTAGGCAATTTCTTTTCTGTTTTATAAGCTCGACATCCGACTATATTCACAATCATAACGATCAGTCTGGTTCTAGCTATTCATTTGCCTTCATGTCAAAGTTATCTTAAAGCTCAATCTTGGATTCCTGACTTGTAAGTAGCCTCTTTTAAATTCCATATAAGGGGATTAGCCAATCAATGATTTTGTAAGTAGATAGATAATAATATGACAATAACAGGAAAAGTATGCATATTTTTCATAAGGTAATTCCCAGCACATTAAAAAATCACATAACTCAAAACAACAGCTAACCTATACATTATAATAAGGTTTAGGTTAACTGAAGCCATGGAAGAGAAGAAAACAGAACATGATTTTCATTTCTCTCATGCTCACATTCTGTCTTTTATTTTATTTCACTTTGTACATATGCTCCCAAGAAGGCTGATCCTTGCTAAAAAGTATATATAGATATATATATATATATAGCAAATATAAGTGCAATATATGTATAGTAAATATAAATGTATAAATATATTTTAAATATAAATATATAAAATATATTTTACAAATATAAATATATTTCAGAGATATTTGTTAATAGTTTATTTTGGGTAATATTCTACTAGATGGTGAAAATATAATTCATGGAGGTCTCCACATAATCTTGCGTTATTTTTTGAATACTGACATTTCTATGACAATGTTGAGTAATGTGATTCTGAAAACATCACTCTCTTCCATACTTCTTATTGTTGCTAATAGTATAGCATTAAATATTTGAAAGTCATTTCTAAAATTCAGGACTTTTAAAAAATTTGGGGGTGCCATATCAATTGGTGATCAGGTATTGTCTGAGTGGTTCCACGCTCATGAAGAACATCCAGTGTGGACCATGCATGATATTGCAGCTCAAACCCAGAAATAGGAGTATTAGAACTAAATTCCAATTTTTTTTCAAACCAACTAGGTATTTCATTATTGGATATCTGAAGTTTTCTTGCACTTTCGGAATTCGTCAAAATTAGGAGACTTAAATTATCATATTAAAGCATTATCTTTGAAGTCAAAGGATTCGGCACAATTTGTATAACTCAACAGGTTGTAAGTATAGATATATAATTTGAGGGATAGTGAGAAACAAGTGCAACAATTCGCAGGACCAGTGACTTAACAAAATATGATGGAGTCCAAAATGCAGAAATGCCACAGCTAGAGAGGCAGGCAACCCAGAAAAAGTATGCAAAAAGAGAAACACACAGTGTCCCTAGCTGGTCAAACTACTTCAAAACTAGCTTGCATGAGGGAAGGAGAGATGCAATGCTGGCTTGATGGGCTTCACATCTCTGAATTTGAGGACTACTTACACATGGGCATAGCAAAAAGAAATTAGAATAATATAAATAAAATGATTGACCTTGGAGCATGGCAAATCTGAGGAATCATTTTTAATGAAGTCAGAGAATAGTTTCATGCTCAGAAACTACTGAATAGACGTTGAATTGTGGGCACACAATCATCAACGTTCTTTTCTGTGTGGGGCGATATCGGAAAGAAAAAAAGTGTTTTGAGGTCTATGTTTGGATCCGCACCTAGCCATGCTCAGGGTTCAAGCCTTGCTCTGGACCAC